TCTACACCGCAACCCCCAGACATGGCTGGTCCTGACCTAAGGGGAACCTCCCCCCTCCCCCCCATACCCCCTAAAAATTTTTCAAAACACCCCTCTAAAAATCTAATCAATTTGGGTTTTTTCCCATTTACTGCAGCATATTTTTTTCCCATTTACTGCGGTTCATTTTTCTCAAATCAGATCCAAAATGACTTTATGATAATATACTCCTATTATAGGTGATGCTTTTAATCAGACTCTTATTAGTAATGGGAGGTACTGTGCTTCAGTAGCTAAGACATGGTGCTTGTTGGCTGGAAAGCCAGCAGCTTGGTTTCAACACCTAAGCTCCATGTGACAGGATGAGCTCCCATCCTCACTCTGGCTCTTACCAACCTAGCCTTCAAAATCATACCAAGGCAAGTAGATAAATAGATATCACTTCAGTGGAAAGGTAATAGTGCTCCATGACATCTTGATGGCCACATGACCGCAAAAATGTCTTTGGACAGTGCTGGCTCAATGGCCTTGAAACGGAGATAAGCTCCACCCCCTATAGTTGACAAAGACTAGCGGCATAAAATCCACAGGGACTCCTTTACCTTTTTTAAATACCTTATTTGTAATGGTTGGACAAATTGAATAACCATTTTTCTAATTCATTCTCCTATCAAACTACAACAATGATAACTCCTAGATAACATTAATTTACAGGTCCTAAGATAAATATAAGGACATAAAAAAGAAAGTCAAGTTTTGTCTTCTGGTTTAATTGATCCTTTTTTTAGTGAACATTTTTTTGGTATTAAGATCAGGCTGGAAAATAATGATGTAACATTTTGGGAAAAAGATGCAAGTCAAGAGGCCAGTGTTGGAAGCCAAGATAGCAAATATCTCCACAATCACAATCTTCTTCCCCTTGATGCTCAGATAAACTGGAATAAAGGAGATCCAAACACTGCAAAAAACCAGCATGCTAAAAGTGATAAACTTGGCTTCATTGAAAGTGTCTGGTAATTTGCGGGCTAGGAAAGCTACAATAAAGCTGAAGATGGCCAAAAAGGCTAAATAGCCCAGAACATAATAGAACATGTTGATGGAGCCTTCACTGCATTCTATTTCCATTTGCCCAGTTGGTGAATCCAAGTTAAGATGTGGAAATGGAGGTGAGATCAACGACCTAGCAGTACAAATTGCTACTTCAATGAAGGAGCAAGAAATGACAATGGCATTTGCCACTTTTTGCCCTAACCATTTTGCAAATGTGTTTCCTGGTTTTGTAGCTATAAAAGCCAGAATAACAATGATTGTTTTTGCCAACACACAAGAAACTGCAATGGAAAATATTATGCCAAAAGCTGTTATCTGAAGGAGGCAGGACACTTTAGAAGGTTTGCCAATAAAAAGCAAGGAACAAAGGTAAGATAGAAGTAAGCAGATAAGAAGAACCCAACTGAGATTCCGATTGTTAGCTCGAACAATGGGTGTGTTCCAATTCTTTATAAAAACTAATATCACAAAGCATGTGATAAAGGCAAAAAATATAGCAAAAGAAGCAAAAACAGTCCCAATTGGTTCATGATAAGAAAGGAAAGTTAAAATCTTTGGGATACACTGGTCTTGATTGCTGTTTGGATATTGATCCTGGGGGCATGGAATACAATGAGCAGCATCTGAAATGAGGAAACAAATATTGCTGAGTCAGAAATTCCATTGCCTTTTTTAAAAGTACTGATTAATTTGTGAACTGGTATCAAAAGAAAATGTATAAAAGAGATTATGAGTTGAAAGGGGGGGAAAGAATCTAGTCAAATTTCAGAAGGGACCAACATATTAATTATCTTCCTTTGAGGATGATAAAAATTATCAGCAAGTTCTTCTTTTAATCTTTGGTGCCAAGAGAAACAGCAAATTTCATAAAGAAACCATCAGATGGTTTCAAATCACAACAGGTAACCAAACACAATAAGAGGCATTGGTGTCCAATGTCATCCATATAATAAAAAAAACCACAACACATGTAGTGACAATTGAATGCAAACTGATTTTTGTAATCCACAAATAGTGGATACAAGTAACTGAAATCATAGATTTTGTATCATGATGCATTTATTCCCGTCGCTCTTCATCCACCTAATAGGTGCAGACACCTAGTATAAGGATAATAGAACAATCTAATACTCAGGGATGGCTAACATTTTATCAACCATTTTAGTTCATCTAAATAGGCCCAATTTTATATTCAGTAGCCCTACTTCCTGAAATCAAGGTGCTTGACCACTCCTACTATATCAATTATTATTGCTGCCTGTGAGCAACAGGAGAACTGTTCTTCTTTCATGGAATGAGGACATCGTCATAGATGCAAGGATGACTTGCTTGCCCATCCAGTGAGATGCTACTTTTCTCTGTTTAGATTCAAATAGTTGCATTTCCTGATAATTCATTAATATTAAACTCTAACAATTTTTCTTTAAAAAGAATTGCATAAACTTCTCCAGATCAGCTAATAGGGAGAGAAAGAGAGAGGGAATGGAAGTTTTTAAGAAGAAACTGGACAGCCATTTGTCTGAAATGGTATAGGGTTTCCTGCCTGAGCAGAGGGATGGACTAGAAGTCCTCCAAGTTCCCTTCTAACTCGGTTATTCTTCCTCATCCTTGTATTAGGGAAGAGGGCAATAGTTTATCTATACTTCATTTTCCCCTTTGGTTTCTATTGTTAGTATGACAACCATATCAGTAAGTGTTTTCCAGGTTCCTGGAGAAAATTTAGTAGATTAATATTCTCTTTTTTATCTTTTTTTCTGCTCAGACTATCTTGCCTCTTACAAGTAACAGTTCTAGAAAACAATATGCATATATAACTACAAAATTATCTCTAGAAAAATGAGAGAATGAATATTTTGCTCAGTTGTAACATATATGTTGAAACATAATTAGTACACATGTGTAAATGATCACTTACCTGTCTGGTTAGAAATCATATATTTTGAACATGGAACACAATCATAACAACATATTGATTTTCCTTCCTGAAGTATCTTGCTTAGTCCTAAATGGCAACTTTCAACACACAGTGAATGGGGAGGTACCTAGTTTTATAAAATGTGTTATAAGCATTATTATTATTATTATTATACCAGTCTAATCCTATTTTTTTAGGGACCTTCTTCTTCTACACAAGGCGACTTCTATTTTTTGTCACAACTCTATATAAAATAAAAAGAGAAAGTACACAAGAACTATCTTTAGTCAAGAAATTTGAATATACACTGTACAATGATCATGATCATCATCATTGCTAGTAATAATCCACCCTGAATTTTAGTTCATATATTACTGTGTATGTATCTCACAATTAAATTTGCTACTTACATTGTATAGCACACTTTCCTATTTGTTCTACAATATTATATCTAAATGTATGTGGAATTTTCCATACTTTGTAGTGATCAGAGAAACTCAAACAGTGATCAACAGCACAATAGCAATATCCATCAATGTAATTTAAACTGTGTTTTTTTTTTACCTGCTTTAATCCTGTATTCCACTGTATAGCATTTTCAGTGATAGTGAATTCTTGCATTGGTGAAAGCTTTCCCACTTTGATTTTACAGTATGTTTGATTGGGAAAAGTGATCCAGTTGATGACATCCAAGCCAGCAAAGAATTCCCCATAGGCAAATGAGATTTCATGGCCAGCACTATTGTTAAATTTAATATTTCTCAGGAAACTTTGAAGCTAGAATGGAAAAAAAAATAAATGAATGGAATACATTATTATAATGCTTAATTTGTATGTGTACTATAATATGGCAATGAGGGATTAAGTGCTCTCAGAACTTGATTGCTTTCTTACAGACATTTCATTTCCCAAACTTGGTAACATCATCCCTGTTAGTAAGAAGTGAGGTTTGCTCTCAGTTTATATTTTAGTGTCAAACTCGCTACATCATGTGACATGTCGTGATGTATTGTGACTCTTTTTGCATTGTGGGCAATGGGGTGGGTGTGGCTTCGGTATGATGAAACTGGCCCATGGGCCAGTAGTTTGACACCCCTGTTCTAGAGGCTTGCCTTGTCAGTGTTGGTGAGGCTTGTCTTAGAGGGTTCTTTGATTGAGCTGTTTACTGTTGGCTTGTTTGGCAGTTCCTTGATTGGGGTATCATTTACTTGACTGTTGGTCTAATATTAATCTTGGAGTTAATCTATACTCATCTGACTGCTGATTGCTTATTGCTGGTGCTTTGGTCTTTTTCCCCTCTTTTTGGTTTGTTGATTGTCTCCTTTGCATAATAGATAGACATTATTTATGTATATGTACCTATTGATGGTTAGTTTGTCAGAGTGCCAGGCTTCCAGAAATTCCCTAGCATTTTTGAACTTGATTTGGTCTAGGATAGTCAGTTTCCCAGTTGAAACAATGGTTAAGTCTGTCCATATGTTGTGAAATTAAAGAGATTTCATCATGTCTTCTTACTGCTGTTGGAGTTCATGTTTGCATTCTGCCAGTCTTCTGCCCACTTGTTCTACATAATGGTTGTTGCAGTCATTCTACTGTATGTTGTAGATACCTTCAGTTTTTCCTCCTGGGGCTGATGGGCCTTTTGGTTTATTTAGGCTATTTTGAAGGGCTTTAGTTGGCTTGTGTACTGTGTTGATTCCATGTGGCTGTAGTAGTCTGTTGGTCATTTCTGAAATGTTCTTGATGTATGGCAGTGTTACACATCTCCCACAAGAGAAGCTGCATAAGAACTTTTTTTTGATGAGCACAAACTCACTGTAGCAACCCTGAACACTACAAAAAGGAAACAGACCATCTATCCAATATATTTCAACAAAATGGATATCCATGCAACTTTATCAAAAAGTGCCTGACCACCCAACCCAATACAATTCAAACAACACTGCCATACATTTTTGGAGGATGCAGTATAGACGATCTGTTTCTTTTTCATGATGTTTCTGCACTTGTTTGCCCTCATCCAAACACCTTCTCTTGTTGGGTTGTTACTTTGGTAGTGGAGCATTTGGTGAGAGTGGATGATTTTACAATAGACTAGTGTTTCTAAATTGCCATTCTTGTCTTGGCTGATGAGGATATCCAGGGAGGGTAGTGTGATATTATGTTTTTTTTTCTTTGTGAATTTTGTTCCTTTGAAGATGTTGTTGATAATTTCAAGTGTCTTCTCTATTTATTCCTTTTTTATTATGACAAAGGAGTTCTCTAATATTGGATCAATACTTTGGATTGTATCTATAGGAACACTGTAGTTTCAAGATATTACATTACATTCTCTGCCATGAATCTTAAGAATGGCAATCCCATGGGTGTTTATTTGTTTAGTTGGTATATTTGTCTGACAAACTGAAAGTAAGGCAAAGGTTTATGAGATTCATGATTCTGAATATTTCAGTCTTACTATATTTGGTTAGGTTGGGTATGTTATATGCTGGATTAATTCATTTATAATTTTGAGTCTATGGCTATAAGGAATCCTTGATACCAAAAGAAAGCATGATCTCATCTTCTTCTATTGTCAGGTCTTTGATTTTTTTTTGGGAGGCACTATAATGCAGAGTTCACAGAATATTTGCTCTTTTCTGTGAGATATCTAAGCTTTTTTTGTCAATTGTTTAACAATATTCTAGGTTGGGGTCCCTAGTAACTATACGATGGGACCAAGAGAAATGCCTGGCTTACAGTATGTATTTATATACAATATTTAATAATAATAATGTAATAATAATAATGATAAAGTTGGAAGGGACCTCAGAGGTCATCTAGTCCAACCTCCTGCTCAAGCAGGAAACCCTATACCATTTCGGACAAATGGCTGTCCAGTTTCTTCTTAAAAACTTCCAGTGTTGGTGCATTCCCCGCTTCTGGAGGCAGGTTATATTTAAAAACAATTATATAACTTCAATAGTATGAATTTTTCTATGCCTATGTGTCTATAACCGACTCCCTCCTCTAAAACGCCTGAGAAAATCTTTAGGAAAGTACTGGTTTTGACTCTTATCTTTTAGGTCACACAAATAAAAATCTGAATACAAACATACAGACACACACAAATGCATATAGACACTGAAATTTCTTTACCTGCCATGGCTGAATATTCAAATGCTTACATTGAAATCTATTTTGGAAGGTTCTTTCTTTAGAAAGGTATAGAGCATGTAAAGCATGTGCTAAGGAATAAACAGCACTGTAGATATTGTAGCTCTCACTAGAGAGTTCCATCTCAAATACATGTGCCGGGAGTTGCTTAAGTTTCTCTTCTCCTCTACATTTTTCACATGCATTAAATGCACTTTCCAAAAACATACAGAAGAAGTGATTCAGTGTCTCATCTAGATTCATGTTATCTAGAAAATCTTTAAATCCAGGCACTGGATTTGTTTGAACCGAGAAAGAAAAGGAGCCATGGAAAATGTTTCTGCCATGCAATTCATTTTTAGATCTGATACTGAAATACCATTGAACTGGCATGATCCAAATTTTTTCTACACGCCCTTTGAATGTTAATTCATTTTTTTCTAAGAAGAATGTCAAGATATTAATTAATTCAGAGCCCATGCTGAGAATAATTACACTAGCATCTGTTGAGTGAAGTGTTATTAGTAATTGTATAGTATTTTTAGCTGAGAAACTGACAGGAAGATAATTCTTTGCTGTATCTCTTTTCAGGAAGGCAATGCATATGCTATTGAGGGCCAGCATAGGTGTCAGTTTCTGCACAAAGTTTTCTCCATCATCATCATCAGAAACAATAAGGCCAATCCATTTCCATTGAAAGTGTAGAAGTAACTGGATTATCCCTCTAAACACAATAGATTCTCTGGGCACCATCCAGTATAGACATGGGAAATCAATTTTACTACTTGATTCAGGCTGATATTCACCATAAGTGAGCTAATGGAGAGAAAATAATCCTATTTTGAAGTGGGAGATTAAATATTTCTCCAATGATTTCTTTTTTTTCTGAATACAATACCAAGTACCAAAATAAAACAGCATACATACCCCCAAGTAAAATTAATAAAACCTTCATATAAATCTTCTATTTATTGTTGTCAAATTAAAGTACAGCAATAAATTATTTGTTTAGACTTCTTTTCTTTTTAAAGTAATATTATATTCAGTAAAGATTATAAAACAAGTAAAGTAAAAACTAATAGAAAGATAAACTATAAAACGTGTAAAATTATGTCTTATAGAAATAAATGCCAGAATACCATAAGTCTTACTCTGAAATAACTTTGTAGGAAGGCAGATTCAATTATTCTAAACCAGAGAAAATACAAAAAACATCTGAAGCAAAACCTCTCCTAAAGCAAGCATCAATCAAATCTCTAGTAAGAGGACATTCTGTGTTATAATTCCACTAGTGAGACTCCAAATCTTCTGATCCATCAGAATAAAACACCTCATCAAGAGTACACTTTATTGATGAAATGGTTGAAAAGATTCTCAGCCACAAAATAGTATTTTCAATTGATCATTTAAACCAGGGGTGTCAAACTGCTGGCGCATGGGTCGGATGCATCATGGCAAAACTGCACCCACCCCATTGCCAGCAATGGGAAAAAAAGTTTTGATACGTCACGACACCCCTGATTTAAACACTTGAATAATCAATACCTAGAACTTCCTGAATACAAAATCTAATCCATTGAAATGATATACTGTAATTATGTCTGGCTTCATGTTTATAAGTGAAAAAGTATATTAAAATTACAAGCCTGTCCCCATCAAGACAGTTAGCTGAACAGAATATAGTTAAGCACCAGAGAATCTGATCATAAATGACAACAAATGTAAGAATCCAAATTGTTACTGCAGACGTAAACACACACCTGTGGAATCTTGTAGATACTTAATATTGTGGCCATCTGGATGCTATTTTCAACAGTGAAGCCTCCAATAACAGATAATAGATGTTTCTTATCACATTTGTAATTAGATGTATTCTTCTTCTTTGAGAACAATAGGTCCAGAACAGTCTCGTATGTTGTCTTTGAATCAAAAAGATTGTCAAAAATATGAAAACCCAAAGTGATATTGGACAGGAGTTCTGGATTCTTATCAATTTCATCAATTGCAAAAATCAGGGCAAGAATATGTTGATAATGTTTCATCTTTATTCTGTAATAATATCAACACTGAGCATGAAAAACTGACATCAGAAACAATGTATCATGATTTCTAACTCACAGATAAAAAAGGCTGAATTTTCTCCCAGGAAAAGAGATGTTCACAATTCTGTTTACTGGAATAGAATTGCTCTAATCTGTGATTCTTAATCTAGCAGCCATCTGTTATCTTCCACCCATAACCCATAAATTCTAGGAATATTGCAGTGCTGTTTATAAATTTGTGGAACTGCAATTCTCACAGACTGGGAAAGGATCTGTTCTACTGATTACGAGACAGAAATATTTTTTGAGAGACTTTATTGCGAATTATATTTTATGCTGAAAGTTAATCGTTGACTTTCGTGAGACACTTCAATTAATGTAGCATTGCCTTATGTGCTTCCACTGTTTTATTTTTTCGCTCGATTTGATGAAAAATACATTTGGGAAATGTTGAAAAATAGTAAGATAAACAAGAAAGTAATCAATGTGAAATATTCAAAGGTGATTTATTCCATAAGAATTATTATATATATATATATAAACAATTTATTTAATTATGGAGTCTATGATATCTGTTTTCCAGATCTGCATGAATTAATATTGTGGGATAATTCAGAGATATTTAGCATATGCAGTATATGAAAAGTGAACCCTTTTATGAATTGAAATTATAGGAGGGCTCAAGACAAAAGACACAACCATTCTGGAATTCAGGCATGTGAGTGATGGTAGTGCAGCCGTTGCTATGTATAGATACATGCACAGAACAGTGTTCAATGCTTTCCAGAAAATGCATATATGAACCCTGGAAAAATTCAATTCAGTTTCTATAGTGAATTTTCTAGGGAACTTGTAACAGGAAAGAGGGAGAGACACAAACTTTCATTGGTTGCTTCACAATGCTTGGATTCTGATCATCTTCTTAGTTAAAAAAATAAACTTAATTAAAAATATAAATTTGCTTGTGGAGGTAAATTAAAAAGAAAAGTGTTGCAATATCACAGCAACATACATTGGCACCATAAACAATTGAGAATGAGCTATCCCTAGACATATCACTGATAAAACTCTACATGAACCTCAGATGTTTAAAGCAACCGGGTAGTTTCTGCATAACCCTAATTCACATGCTTTACTAACGTTGTTGCTTCAAGAACCTCTTCCAACTTTAGTAGTTTAATCGGTGATTGAGAATGGGATACATCTTTCTTAACTCCAGACAGTTCCCATAACATCTAATAAATTTATTACTATGGTTGGTTGCACAATTAGCCACATGTTTAGACTCAATTTGTCATTTTATCTATCTATTGAATCCTTCCCGAGGACCTAGTATTATATTTATTTATTTATTTAAGTTTACAATAATAGTTTCAATGTAAAAAGTACTTTAAGAGAAAACTTACACAGAAGTATCATATATCCTATTTGGAATTTCATTAAAATTGTGGAAATGAACTATAGGATAGATTAGAGAAAGAATGCCTCCAATAATCACTTCTCCTGGTCTGTATACGTTCTTTTGCATATTTGTAGAACGACTACACTTTTTTGTTCCATTTGCACATGCAGGAGGAGGGAGCAGCAACTGTAACAGCAGCAGTAGCAACCACTGGAAGTTTCCATGCTTAACAATGCCACAGTTGCATAGTCTCATCTTTGACCATACAGAATGCTGCAATGTTCTCTACATCAGGCTTCCAAATTAGTTATAAATCTCTGTTGCCCATAGCTCTGAATGTCAGCACAATAAGATACAGAATTCATCTCTTTGTATTTTTAGCCTTGATTGTTATTGACTGCAAGAAAATAAATACATACTAGTGATTTCATTAATTACAGAGTAGATAAGTATCTCTCAGATGGCACAGATCTTTCACATGGGTTCCTATTAGTCATATTCTTCTTGGCAGAATACTCTCTGAGATGCTGATTCAAATAAATGATTTCCATACAAAGTTTTTAAAATATTTTTTTATCTCACCTTTATTATTATTTTTTAATTACTTAAGATGGCAAACATACATAAGATTTCTTTCTTTTCCTATTTTCTTCTTGTGAAGTGGTTTAGACTGAGAGAGAGTGAAGATCACTCAGTCAGCTTTTATGCCTAGAACTCACAGTCTCCTGGTTTCTAGGCCAGCATCTTCACCACTATACCAAATTATTGCTTCAATTGTAGTCGAATAACTTTGATTATTGATAGCTGATGCTGCCAATATGCTTCTGGGCATAGAAAATGTTGCTAGCAATCCATATCATGCCATTTTTTCCTCATATAAATCAAACTGTGGTCAGTTTTCATAGTTCTCAATATGTAGCTCTCTCTGCTTCCACAACTGTTCCCCCCCCCCAAAAAAAAAAACCTGGATCCCATAATTATTATTAAAAATTGTCACAGGAGTCCATGTTACATTTTCCTACAGTCACTAGGGTGACAGTAAGACTGTCATTAGGGTTCAGGGTCATTCTTTTGATCACTTGTAACAAACTGCTTATAAACTACTCACCCAGAGGGTGCATTTATTGCTGTGGGAGACTTTAACCAAGTGGATTTGAAAGCTACCCTCCACATTTCCATCAATATGTGGACTTCACAACCACAGGGGACAATACACTGGATCTTGCTTATTCCAACATCAAGAAGGCTTTCAAAACTATCCCCCGCCCTCAGCTGGGCTCCTCTGACTATCTCTCAGTGCTGCTTATTCCAGCATATAAACCTTTATTAGTCAGAGTGAAACCTACAGTAAAGCAGATGAGGGTTTGGACAGAGGGAGCTATAGAAGTATTACAAGATGGCTTTGAGTGCACAGATTGGGACATGTTTAAGGAAGCAGCTACTGATAACCAACATACAAATGTTGAGGAGTATGCCACCACAGTGTCTGCATATATCCAAAAGTGCATAGAAGATGTCTGTGTTCTGAAAAAGCATTGTTGTGAGGGCGAATGAAAAACCGTGGCTGACTTATGAGGACCGCAAGATGCTGAAAGCACGGAATGTGACTTTTAAATCTGGTGACATGCTGGCACTTAGAATAGATCTGAAAAATGCCATAAAATTCAGAACTTTTTTCAGGACCTAACAAACAGCAGGCAAATGTGGCAAGGGGTCCAGGCCATTACAGATTACAAGGTGACTCCATCAAGATGCAAGGATGACACAGACTTCCTAAACAAACTGAATAAATTTTTTGATAGATTTGAGGCATCAAATAGCACTCCTGCTAGGAAAGCTGTGCCCCATCCTAACGAGCAAGTGCTAAGCTTTGATGTCACCTCTGTCTGGAAAACACTGCAGAAAGTTAACTTTCCGAAAGCAGCAGGCCCAGATAACATCCTTGGACGTATCCTTAGGGAATGCACAGAAGAGCTGGCTCATGTTCTCACAGATATTTTCAATCTCTCATTGCAGCAGGCAGTGGTCCCATTGTGTTTTAAGATGGCCATCATCTTACCAGTGCCAAAAAAGTCCAAAATTACAGGCCTCAATGATTACCGTCAGGTTGCACTGAGATCCACCATTTTGAAATGCTTTGAGAAGCTGATAAAGGACATTATTGTATCTAGCCTCCCACCAGCATTTGGCCCACTTCAGTTTGCCTACTCACTATATGGAGGGTGCTATTTCTTCTGTTCTCCATCTGAGCTTGAAGCACTTAGAGGAAAGAAATACTCATGTACATTTGTTATGGTCGACTTCAGTTCGGCATTTAACACAATCATTCCCCAGCATCTAGTAGACAAACTGGGGCTTTTAGGCTTAAACACTCCTTTGTGCAACTGGATTCTTGATTTTCTTACCAACAGGCCCCAATATGTATGAGTTGGAACAAATACCTCTAATACCATTTCCTTGAGCACAGGTTCTCCTCAGGGCTGCATCTTAAGTCCTTTGCTGTTCACCCTGTTGACCCATGACTGTTGTGCTAGGTTTGCCACCAACCATATTGTGAAGTTCGCAGATAATACAACAGTAGTAGGCCTTATTCAGGATGACAAGATGGAAGCTTACCACAAGGAGGTTCAGGAGCTGGTGAACTGGTGTAAGGAAAACAGCCTAGTTTTAAATACTGGAAAAACCAAAGAGATCATTGTCAATTTCAGAAAAGGCAGGCACAGCCACACTTCTCTGTGCATTAATGATTCACCTGTAGAGATGGTTACCAGCATCAAATTCCTGGGTGTGCAGCTAACGAGTAGGCTGGCTTGGTTGCTCAACAGTGAGAAACTGGTGAAGCGGGCACAGCAGCGCCTGCATTTTCTGTGTCGCATGAGAAAAGCACGTCTTCCTTCCCCTATCCTGACCACTTTCTACAGGGGGACAATCGAGAGCATCCTGTCATACAGCATCACAGTCTGGTTTGGAAGCATCACTGCTTCAGACAGGAAGGTGCCGAAAGTGGTGAAAATGACTGAAAAGATCATTGGCAGTTCCCTCCCTCCCATCTAGGACATAACACAGAAGCATTGCTTGAACAGTGTCTGTAAGATTATCAGGGACACTACACATCCTCTTCACAACCTGTTTTCCTTGTTACCTTCTGGGAGGAGGCTTCATGGTATCCATAGCAGAACATCCAGATTCAGCCAGAGTTTCATTCCATACAGCATTAACCTTGTGAACTCTCAAGCTTCCTCCTTCCGTTATATATTCAAGATGGACAGTATTTAATATTTATTTGCTATGTATATGTAGGGATGTGGGTCTATACATATGTTGTATATAGTATGCTTAGGTGTGTGTCATGTATGTGTTTCACTTTGAGAGCGGGCAACTAAATTTCATTTTTGATGTGTGCCATTGTGCCCACAGTAAAAAAATGACAATAAAGTCATTATTGTCTTGTCTTGTCTTGTCTTGCCTTGCCTTGCCTTGCCTTGCCTTGCCTTGCCTTGCCTTGCCTTGCCTTGCCTTACCTTATACAGACAGTCTTTGATTTACAACTGATCACTTAGTGATCTTTTGAGTTACTCCTCAAAAAGTACTTATGATCCAGTTCTAATGTTCTGTTGGCTGTTCTTGGGTTGCATGCAAGTTCATCACTTGTTTTGTGTTGAGCTTGTTGTGAATCTAGTGATCCATACTAATACTTTTTGAGACTATCTTTCTCCATAACACCAATTGACACTAGAATAAGTTCAGTGATTCCGATTTGTATCTTAAAGGAAGTCAGGATATCATTATCTTCTTGTTTTAATGTTTAATTTGTTGTATAAAGGCTATTTGTTTTTTTAATAAAGTTTCTAAATCTTATTCAAATAAAGTCCTTATTTATTTGTTTGATAGTATGTTTTAAAATTGACATTTTATTTTAATTGTTATCCATTTCAGAAAGCAATTTATTATTAAAAGGCATAGATCCATACAAATCAGCTTGAGAATCAAATACTTTCTGAGTGTAAGTTATGGCATTCAAACTCCTTGTGCAAATATTATTAGAGATACAATTTTATAAATTTTCACTCAGTACAGAATGTTCAACAAAATAAAACTAAAGAGAGGTAACAAGATGGGAAAACTGAAAAAAAAAGTATTGTACACAAATCAATGTGTTATTTCTATACAACATCAGATCACAGTTACAAAAAGCCAGATTTTACCGTGATATGATTCAGATTTTAACTTTTACATTTTATTATGGTGTGTACCAAGCACCTAGACTCACTATGAAGAATTCCCCACCCCCTTCTACCTCTAGTACTTGTCCCTTCCTGTGGAAAAACTGGGATTGTTCACTCCCAGAACATCTGTGTGTCATGAGCTTGAGAAGAAACCTCTGTATTACTCAATCACCATTGAGGAAAGTAGAGAATTTTACAAATGTTTCAGTGGTTGTTGTGTTTTAGCTGCAAATCCTTGATTTAACTGATGTGAAATCAGGTGACTCAATGTAGAAATATATAAGTAGTTGATGAGTCAACACTGACAATATTTAAACAGTTCAAACAAGAAAATTGATGTGGTCACTAAGATGTGCAAGTGCAATTCAGAAGTCTTGGATTCAAAGTACAGGAACTAATTGAAAAATGAGCCAATGACTCTCCCTCAAAGCAGCCTATTTCACAGCATTATTGTAATGAGAAGTGACAAAATGTTGTGTACTGTACAATTTACATGTGTTTAATTGATTCAGCCCATGCTTTCCCTTTTAGACCAAATTCACATAGGTATAAAATAATCAAATTTTTGTTTAAAGAATGAGAACTTTGGAGATAATACTCTTCATATATTAAAAATGCAACTTTTTAATATTGGAAAAATTAATTGCACCTGCCCGAATTATAATGATACATCTAGTGCCAAATTGGAAAATAAATACCTGAACAATATTCAGTGATCTATGCAGATTTCAAGACAATATTACCTGTTTCATAATGAAGAAAACTGAATCTTAAGTATGAATTAAAAACAATTCTTTAATTAGTACAGAGCACCATATAAATGTAGACTCATTACCACATAGAAAATTAATCAAATTCTGATATACTTTTTACTTATTATTTCAGGAATAGTAGCGTTCCCAAAATAAAATTATACTTTGCTGCAAAGTTCATAGGTAGCCCAAATTTGGTTTTTCCAAGTTTTCCTCTGAGGCTGTTGAGGGAGTGGAGCCCCTAATCCATGATCAGTTTCTTTCTGCAGTTTTGCCAGATTTCTGCCCAGGTTTTCTTCTCTATTCTACATATATCCTACAATATTACAATTATATTCTACAATTTCTCTACAACAAATAAATGTTTCTTCCTGTCTTTGTCTTTTTAAATTTTGTCTTTCTTTTCTTCTACTTTTCTATATTATAAATCTGAGTTTCAGTTAGTTTTCAAATTGTCTTTTTATTAAAATCTTATTAAAGTTATATTAAAACATGATTTAAAATTAGAATTATATGTACATTGTCTTTAAAACTATTCAAACTAAAACCTATTTTTATAACCAACAAATAGTCATTCTTCTTTAATGCCAATATAGTGTATGCTTAAATGCCTCCTTTACTTCTTTGTTTCTTAGTGTGTAAATAAAAGGATTCAGCAATGGAGTTACAACTGTGCTCAAAATGTTCACTATTTTGGTCATTTCTAAAGAAGTCCGTTTAGAAGGCTTAACATAGAGAAAAATAGTGGAACCATACCAGATGATGACAACAGCAAGATGGGAGGAGCATGTAGAAAATGCTTTTTGCTGCCCTTTGACTGAAGGAATACGCAGGATGGTAGAGATTATATAAATGTAGGAAAATAGAGTTACCGCACAGGGTCCCAGTATAACAAAGATGGATATAATAAAGGCTGCCATTTCAACATCATAAGTGCTGCTGCAAGCAAGAACTATCCAGGAATCAATATTGCAATAGAAGTGATTAATCACATTGGGTCCACAGAAAGTTAATCTTGAGATCAGAAAAGTTGGCACGGAAATAATGATGAATCCACAGAGCCAAGAACAAGCTGCTAGCATGCTAAATAAATTGAATCTCATGATGATGGTATAACGCAGTGGATAACATATGGCCAAATATCGGTCGTAAGCCATGACAGATAGCAGAAAGTATTCTGTGCATCCCAAAGAAAAAACAAAGTACATCTGCATAATGCAGCCAGTGGAAGAAATGGCTTTATTCCATCCAAGAACGGTGGCAAGGGCCTTTGGAACAGAGGCTGTTGTATACCACATTTCCAGAAAAGAGAGATTGCAAAGGAAGAAATACATGGGAGTATGGAGACACTGATTTGAGATTATGAGAATGATGATCACAACATTTCCCAAAACTGTTAGAATGTACATAGTAAGGAAGATAATAAAGACAAACATTTGTATATAATGAGATCCAGGGAAGCCAAGAAGAATGAATTCCATCACTTTTGTTTGATTTTGTGCTCCTTCATTGGTCTTTTCCATTTGTCCCATATTTGTTTTTGCTGAAATTGGGGGAAAGCATACTATTTAGACTATGGCTTCCCTATTTGAAATGGACCAATTTTACATTTTGTTTAGGTCTTCCCTAAGTCTGATTTCACCTACATCAGATTGCATTTAGAATATCTTTTAAAATCTTTTTTTAAAATAACCTTGTTTCTGGAAATTTGAATACTGGGATCACATTCAACCTGCCTATAGGTACAGTACTTCTACTATCTAAAATAAAAAATATTATTCATGCTCAATCTCCTCAATAGATTTATATTGCTCTACCACAGAAACCAAAGGGAAAATATCAAATTTGATAAAGCATATGGGACTTATTATTTTTAATTTAACATTGATGATTCATTAAATTTTGGATTGGATCATTATCAATTACTTCATTTTAAGAGAAACCCACACTGGGCATTTAAGTTATTTCTCCTGGGGGCCACACTCTGCAAAGTGAGAAGAACATACTAAAAGTTGTAGTTTCAACTTTATGTAAGCTGTTGACACTAGTGCTATCAAATTATTTTTTGAGGCATTTATTTATTTAAAATGTTTTATTCATTTTTAAGAATCACAATCTTTAGTGCTTATTAAACAACGTGTTGTCTCGGTTCACATATTTGACATTAACTTCTTCAATATAAATCTGTTCAGTACTACACAATCCAGTTATGGCTAAGTTTTGCAGTATTTTGTTTGTATATGGTCGTTTATATTTCCCTTCTTTTATTTCTTCCATCTCTAAATCCATTTCCTCTGCTTCATCTTCTGATTTCTGGTTTATTTCTTCATGCTTTGTAGTCATTGTCTGGGAACTTTCTAGTTGTAGATTTAATTTGGAGATTTGCTCATTTATATTATCTAAATTGTTTTTAGTCTCATTATGGTTTATTTTTATGTCCTCTTTGTATGCAACAATTGTTTGGTGAATTAGTTATAGCATATAGTATATTTCCTTTTGAAATGTGTTTGTTTTTTATTGAGGCTTCATTCCTGGAGATCCTCTTGTTAGTATCACCAGTCTCAGTAAGAGTAGATCAGTGTTTCATCTAGTTTTCTGGTGTTTATATGTAGCCTTTATTATCCAATAGGTTCCAGAGTATAGGTCCAGTCCTGAAAGCAATATTTTATAGTGATGCTTTGTCTCAGGTATCCAAAATTGTCAGTCAGGTAAGGTTGTAATCCACAATGTTCAAAATATTCAAAATGTTCAATCTCCCTGAAAACAGCTCAAAAGTCTCTCCCAGCCAGGAGTAGTCCAAAATCATTTTTTTTGCTTTCTCTTCCACTAGCTCTTGAGATTAAAAGTCCAAGTTCAGTTGGTATTTATAATCCAAGAAGGTCAGAGTGATAACTATGCCAAAATACTTTCCTTTATTGCTAGCGGTTCTCCCAAGCTAGGAGTCACCAATTAGCCAGGAAGCAAAGTTTAGTGTTATACACAAATCCACCACAAGTCCTTCAAAGTCTATTTTCGACTCTTAAGACAATATAAGATTTCTTATATTTCCTCTCAATATTTCTCTCTTTTTTTAAAGAGAAAATCTTAACAGTTATGTCAGTTCTCAAACTGTAGCTTTATGTTACGTCCACTTCAGTATTGTATGTTTCTGCCCCATAAAATTATAACACTGCTTCCATTCACATTCAGAGGTTTTTTGCTTCTTGGGAGCCTTTCCAAGGAAATTCAGTCGTAAAATAGTAAAGAAAGGATCAATATTCTCACCCAGTTCCAAACATGCTGTTTATGATGTGTTAATTGGTGCTTTTTCTTCTTCAGTTGTCAGCAGCTAATGGCCAGCCACAGGAAGGTAGCCAGTCTTTCCCCTGCCACTTTGGAGGGCTTTCCTTGGATCGAATGGAAAGACTACCACCTCTTCATGCTCAACAAGGCACCCCTCTTCTTCATTGCCTCTTTGAGGCAACTTTAGGCCCTTTTTAGGGCCCCCAGCAGGGCGATGCAAAACCAGAAATGAGGCATTTGTTTATTTTATTTTTTGTACTTGATGGTTTTAGAGCATATATAAGATGACAGTAGTAGAAATGATTTTTTTAAGTGCTTCTAAAATTTTAGTGGGGAGGGGAGTGACAATAATCAAGATGGGGTAATAAACTTTGGTTGACATTTGCAAATGGTCTTTGATGGCAAAGTTGAACATACCACTGAGAATCTTAGCCTCTTCTAGCCATACTTTCTCAGCTGAATTCCTGACAGTTCCTGAGAATTAAAAAAGAAATCAATAGTAGCTACCATTGCTTGACTCTGGACTGTAGATTGTCTGAGTTCTAAGCTTTCAATCTGGCCTGCAAACTACTTTTGCAATAATAATAAAGTGATGTTATTGGGAGATAGGTATGAAGAAGGTCAGCCCAAAGCTTTTTGAATGGGAGATAACAGAAGAAAAAAGTGCATTACACCAATTTCATTGATTACATTATTTAAACCTAAATATGAGATTTGAAAGTGATCATTTTGCAGCTTAATTTTGGCAGAATAATGTCAGCATGTACAGCAGACTCCAAACTGGACTTTAAGTTCTAAATACAGTTAATGAGCCTTTGTTATCCAGTGTGGATTAGATAGTAAGATACTAGTCCAACTCTATGTAATTATTTCCACTTAGTTATATATAGCAAACAGCATTTTCTTTGCTAAATCCCCAAAAAGCTCTTGGTGAAATGGCCAGCATATAAGAATAATAGACTTCCAGTTTTGCATTGTGGTGATATGGATGCAGGAAGGTAGGGCTCTGCCATTTGCGCCCAATTTTGTCCTGCTGGGAACTCAAAAAGGGCCTAAAGTTTCCCCAAAAAGACAATGAAGAAGGAGGGGTGTCTTGTAAATAACAGAGAGAAGGCAGTGTTTCCATTGGAGAGGCATATGGAAGTCATGGTTTTCATGAAATCCCAGGTTACCTGTGACCCCACCCCCAGGGATGACAGGTTGAAGTCCTCCAGAACTATAAGCCTCCTCCTCATTGACAGCCCTGTGGTGAGGTCTAGTAACCTGGGTAGGGAAGCTGCTATGCAGCAGGGAGGCTGGTATAACAGCAGCAATCCCACCTGATCCCTTGAATCCAATCTAAGAAAAAGGATCTCACAGGTAGACATTTGTTGGAACTATGCCCCTGCAGGCTGCCAGAGATTTTATGATGAAAACAGCCACACTTTGTCCCTGGCCTTTAAGTCTAGGCTGGTGCCATACTCAATAACCCATTGGGCACATTACTAAGACAGGAACACCTCCCTCTGGGCATAGCCAGGTCTCAGTGATGCAAGTCAGATCAGCCTTCTCTAAAAGAATCAAATCAGCAATAAGGCAAGCCTTGTTATAGGCTGATCTGACATTTAAAAGCAGCAGCCTAAAACCTGCACCCTGCAGTTCTTCTGAGGTGGGTGCAAGTGGGCAGAACACGAAAATGGTACTAAATACCGAGGTTGTGTTCCCTATCCTTTTTTGCCTCCATATCACCCGTTACCACTGAAATACACTCCCTTTCCCTCCACAGTCCCAGAGTTCTTGAACAGCCTCCCAACGCCAGATTATAAAATATTCCAGAAATTTCAAGGAAAACTCAGAGGCATGCTACACTATACTGAGTACTTTTGCATGGTACATTGCACTGAATACTTTTGCAGCAGTTCAGCCCTAAGATGTCTCCTGAGGTCCATGGCATGCAGAGACCAGTAAAAGTTCAAAGCTCCCACAAGCCAGTTAATAATCTGAAAATCCAGGCAGCAGCTTGCCACACTCCACAGCACTAGTGTATATATGGGCAGCTGCCAACAAAGATTTGGGAAGCTTATCTCCTCTTTCAGCTTCACCTCCATCATAGAATCCATGTTATCTTAAAGAACTGCAGCTACTGGGCCAGCGTTTGGTTCAACTGGCCACAGAGCACTGAAGGCAGTTCACTGAGATCCAGGGGATCCTCTGTCTCATCTTCCAGCTGCCCCTTTCTGATTTCTCAACACTCCTCCACTTCCACAAACCAATGTCAGCATCCAAAGAACATTCCAAAACTTTTGCTGCAAAATTCGTCAGATATCCCTCAACAAACACATGCACACACTTTCACCATCCTTTAAAAAAAATCATGTTTGTAAAGAATATAAGCTCTTTGCAAGTATTTCAAAGAAATTGCCTTTGTGACAGATAATTAGCTTAATTATGTGTTAAATATTCAGTCTAAGGATCTTGTGTATTTTATAGTTTTAAAAATTATAAATTGTTTGTATCCTATCCTTATCATGTTAGTCTATGATTGTAATAAATATTTGTTTGTTTGTCCAATTAGCAAAATATCTACAGCCTATATAGTTTTACTATGTAGTAAACCTATACTTTATTATTAAAATATAATCAATAAGGACATAACATTAATAATTCTGGAAAAAACTGATATATTTTAAGAATCACCTGCTTTGGAGGAATGGCATAAAAAGAGCATTTTTTACTCCAGTAAAAAGTCATTAATATTAATATTTTAAAATTTTGGATTGTTGTCATTGCAAACTAAATATTAAATGGACCCATTTTCTGGGTAAATGTCAGAGCAGGACAAGTTCATTAATAGGTGGTTGATATTCCAGAGAGTTAAGGATGTGAATGTAATGTAGTTTTCCCCCCACAAACTAACAGAAAGTAACACAATGAATGTGTTTTAGTTTTCCCCCACAAACTAACAGCTATGTGTAACTCATAGCAAGAGCCCTAGTCCATACAGTAGGTATACTGCAGTGGCTTACAGATCACCAAATAGCATATAGCATGAACAACAGCAAGAAGCATTCAGTGGTTCCCACATCATAAAAAATGTATTACTATATATGCAGTTTGTCAGTGAAATAGTTTTCTAGTTTTGAACAAATCTACCAGGAAGTTTGGGGTAAAGTTTGACATATTCCATACTTCAAGCAGTGATACATTGCCAGCTCTCCCCATAATATATTTCTCAAAACAGTGGAAAGAATAAAAAGTGCAATTCCTGAATTCAACAAGGATCAACAAAACCAAGAAACATTAACAGGTTTTATGAAACTCCATTTCCGCCTCTAAAAATGTCCATTTGTTAGTCTAAATTTTGAACAAATGGAAGATGATGCTGTAAAAATAATGCAGTGTTATTCTAGTTTCTATATGTAGGGACCAATTATTTAATTATAAAAAAGGGAAGTCTTTGTTCCAGGCAGTCTGAAAGTGAAAATGACACAAAATGGGTGAATTAAAAAATTAAAGGAAAAGATTAGATGAGCTTATGGAAAACATATCTTTTACTTGTTGATCAAATTTCCATTCTGACTTAATTGAAACTTTTTTCAATGAACTTTTTTGGTATTGAGATCAGGCCTGAAAATAATGATGTAACATTTGGGGAAGAAGATGCATGTCAAAAGACCAGTATTGGAAGCCAAGATAGCAAATATCTCCACAATCACAATCTTCTTCCCTGTGATGCTCAGATAAACTGGAATAAAGGAGATCCAAACACTGCAAAAGACCAGCATGCTAAAGGTGATAAACTTGGCTTCATTGAAAGTGTCAGGTAAATTGCGGGCTAGGAAAGCTACAATAAAGCTGATGATGGCCAAAAAGGCTAAATAGCCCAGAACATAATAGAACATGTTGATGGAGCCTTCACTGCATTCTGTTTCCATTTGCCCAGTTGGTGAATCCAGGTTAACATCTGGAAATGGAGGGGAGATCAGCCATCTAGCAGCACAAATTGCTCCTTCAACGAGGGAGCAAGAAATGACAATGGAATTTGCCACTTTTTGTCCTAGCCATTTTGCTATCCTGTTTCCTGGTTTTGTAGCCATGAAAGCCAGAACAACAATGATTGTTTTTGCCAACACACAAGAAACCGCAATGGAAAAAATTATGCCAAAAGCTGTTATCTGAAGGAGGCAGGACACTTTAGAAGGTTTGCCAATAAAAAGCAAGGAACAAAGGTAAGATAGAAGTAAGGAGACAAGAAGAACCCAACTGAGATTCCGATTGTTAGCTCGAACAATGGGTGTGTTCCAGTTTTTTATAAAAACTAATATCACAAAGCATGTGATAAAGGCAAAGGATATAGCAAAAGAAGCCAAAGCAACTCCAATTGGTTCATGATAAGAAAGGAAAGTTAAAAACTTTGGGATACACTGATCTTGATTGCTGTTTGGATATTGATCGTGGGGACACAGAATACAATGAGCAGCATCTAAAAAGAAGGGAAAAATATATCTGAGTCAGAAATGTCAATGCCTTTTTAAAAAGTAATGATTATTTTTATGAATTAGTTATCAAAAGAAAATGGTCAAAACAGATGATAAGAATTGAGGAAAAAAAGATTGAGCCAAAGCTTAGAAGTGACCAATAATTTAAATTGAACCTGGATTGGTCACCAGGACCAGAGATTTACTCTTCCAAGCTTTCGGATTCATGCTGGAGCCCATCTTCAGTAAACTTCTCTCTACTGGAATATATGCTTTGGGCTATTCTGTGAGATGTGTTTACATGGTGCCTTCCTTTTGGCTGATTGGTGTTGATGGTTAGTGATTGGCTGTGGTTTCTTTCTGCTGCCAAGCTGTTGGCTCTTAAGTAGATAATAATAATAATATTAATAGTAAAGTTGGAAGGGACCTTGAAGGTCATCTAGTCCAGCCCCCTGCTCAGGCAGGAAACCCTATACCATTTCGGACAAATGGCTGTCCAGTCTCTTCTTAAAAACTTCCAGTGTTGGAGCATTCACCGCTTCTGGAGGCAGGTTGTTCCACTGGTTAATTGTTCTCACTGTCAGGAAGTTTCTCCTTAGTTCTA